ATCGGAGGGCTCCCGTGGAGCACACACACCGCATTTACTTGTCTGGCCTAAACATGGTTCTAGTCAGCGCCTTACTGGAATATAGATTTGGTGTGCTGGCAAGATTGGATGATCCTCACTGTGTTCGAGACATCAACAAAACAGGAAGATTGTTAATCTTGCTGGCATAGACACATCTGGCCGGGTACTATTTACTGCATTATGTGCCACAATTTCACTGTGAGAATGCACCTGTGCGACTACTGGTCCATATGCAGGTCATACACCTGGCCGCCTGGGCTCCAGAGGCATCGCAGCAAGGAAGTCGAAGAATAGAAGCAAGGGAACAAATACCCCCTATTGTTTTTGTTTCCCGTTTTTTTCTTTTTTAAAGCACCACTACATGGCCCCAGCCAAGTTGAGAACCTGATTGAGCCTCTCCTAAAATTTCGGAGGCTCCCTCGCCGTAGATAAAATAAATCAGCGGTGGGCGGCCTCCAAAAGGGGGCCGCAGCCGATAGCTGGCATGTACTGGTGGTTTAATATAGCTATTCAGATGAGCACATCAGACCCCGGTGATGCTCGGATTGGTCACTCTGTAAGCTACATGGGCGGGGTCGCCACTTCTGAAGGTGATACGAGCAGCCTCCATAAGCAAGGACCTTTGTATTGGTGGGGAGATGCAGCTGCTGGAAACTGGGCCCAGCATCCCATGATTGAACAGCTAGTTAAACTTTGATAAAGATGGAAAAGAAATGGGCTGGATAGCATTGTGGCTATGATGGAGAGGAGGTTGGAAGATTCAGAGAAAGGAAGTCACGTGGAGACCTGGGGTTAGAGGAAGGAGAGGGCGGTGGGAAGTGACTTTTGGCTTACAAGTCATCATAGGAACCTCTGCCTGAGGATGGTAAGTCCCAGCTGATGCTTTTCTAATAGAAAAAGGAACAATTGACCGTGGATTTGGGGCTGGTATTGGATCGCAGGTGGGAAGGATTGGAGGTGGGACGGGACATCGATCTGCTGGGCTCTTGGGTGTCTGACCTGGGTAGCCCTTTTCCTCAACAACCTTACCAAAATAAGCAGGGCAGCTGTCTTGCGGGGCATCTGGATAAAGTAAATGCAAATGAGTGGATAAAGGTGTGCTAGGGTCATGGATAAAGTACAGGCGGATGAGTTTTATGTTCACTGACAGTAAATTGTTAAGGAAATAATCCAGACTGAAGTTCGAAGACAAGGGTCCCTGACACTCAAAAGAAAAAGACGGAAACTGACCCCTGGAAAAAGAAAAACATTCTGACTGACATCTGCTCGAACTGGTCCCGATCCAACTTGGGGGATGGATTGGCAAGGATTACACCACAGAAGGAAGATGCATCTTGAAGGCACCCCCTGCTCTCAATGATTGGACGCAATTTCATAAACATGCAGCTTCAAGTACGCCTCTCTTTCCCCTGCCCCCTTCCCTCCTGCACCCTTGTCTTTGATCGACATCAACTGGCAGGGGCAAGTGCTCTAAGATTGTTTCTGGCCTCACTTTTAGGCTGCAAGAGCTAAAATACAGCAAGGATATCTGGTGACTCCATAGTTGACTGAAGAGGATCATTCCAGCCCAGTATAGCACGGGGCTAGTAAATCTCCTTCCACGAATGACAATTAGTGCTGTCCCAGATGCAAGCAAAGAACAGCTTTCCTCAATCCTAGGAATCCCATCACCATCCTTAGTAGCTTAGTTGGCAAGGCGTTCAAGCGGCACTCAGGAGGTTGTGGGTTCAACTCCCATTGCCCCCATGATAGTGCCTGTGGCATGCTTGGCGTCTTACCTTCAAGACGGCCAGTTGGTAAGCAAGTGCGTGGTAGCTCAGTGGGCAGAGGTACAGTGTTGCAACGGCGAGGTTGCAGGTTCGACTTTGTCGGCCCACAATTTCCCCCGAGCACAATTGGTTGGTGTAGGTTGCAACCCACGAACTTGTCCCGAGCCTGGCATAGCGCCCTTACAGGCTAATGACCTCAATAGCTCAGTGGGTAGAGCTCTGATATTGTAACTTGGAGGTTCTGGGTTCAACTCCATACTATGCTCATTCAGCATGTCTATATATACTGTTTGTCATATCAGCTAGGGATGATCCTCTGGACGGATTTGGGTTGGGACGTGTGCCTTTCCTGCGGGAGAGTTGATGTGGGATGGATGCTACTCTCTCGGGCCGGAGAGTGGTAAGGTGCTGTTTGGGTGCATGGTGATACCGTGGCAGTCCTATGGTGGGCAGGGGTGCCTTGCAGGGAAACCAATGTTGAATCAAGAGGTGTGTCCTACTCTCGATGTCTGTAGACCCATTCTCGGGAGGGGGGTTATCAGAGGTTGGTGGGGGGTAGTTGATGAGGGTCGAGGTCTCCACCATCACCACTGGTCGATTCTCCCTAGCGAACAGACATAAGCAAGGCTCATTAGTAGCAGAAAGCAACCAGATACATCCATACAGACTATGATATCACACGTGAGGAACAAGCCCTCAAGGGGCCCTATCAGACATCACATTGCTCTGGGCTAAGGCCCCCAGCAAGCCAAGTGCCCGCCCTAAGTGAAGGCGGGCCTGAATATCCGTCAAAGGCAACATTCGACATTTCCATATGTGGGTATTCAGGCTCTCGCAGCACGCCAGTTGGTTGGGAAGACGTGTGAGCCTCACATTGCTGCGTCATACAGTTGGTCCAGGCCTTGACAGTTGTGCCTGGGCACACGTACACAGAACAGGGCCGATACATTGGGAAGCAGGCCTTCGGCCTTTGCAAAAGCAGTAGTGCCGACGCACTTGCCTGGGAGCCCTGCACAGATGCAGCAAACAGCCCATGTCCGTAGACTCAGGCCGTGCCTAACTGCAAAGGGCCCAGGCCCTCAACTGTAGTCTCGGGCCTGGGCGCAGGGTCTGGGACCCAACCGGAAGCTACTGGAAGCTTCCAGCCAGGCCACACGCAGCATCCAGGAGGCTGCCACTTCCACAAAAGGAATGAGGCAGCCCAGGCCAGGCATTCTGGCCAGCGCTGGCAATGCGGAAGTGCTGCTGCGCTCTCGCTTGATGTTGCGCTGCTGCCAAGGACGTTGACGGGGCGCGAGAGGTGTTGTGGGGCGCAGGCGGCCATAGCCAGGCTGCTGGGCGCCAGGGGGTAATGCGGGCGATTGAATGGTCTTCAGGGAAGGAGGCGAGTGTGGGGTAATCAAGGTCTGATTGAGGGTGACGAGATACGTACCTGGTACATGAAGAGAGGTTGGCGATGGTGTTGGCAGTCATGTACATTGGTCTTCGTGAGTCGAAGTGATCCTGTTGCATGAACCAGCTGTAGGTAGTATAGTCGGGTAGAGTAGGCTGGGCGCTGAGCGCCAGACAGAGCAGAGCGACTTTGGATATTGTGTTGGTGTGGCCTACGGGCTTGAACATCGGCTCATTACTTCATTGTATTGCTCTATATGGATGGTTTTCTCAATGCATTTGTAATCTTTGCTTGGGACACGACTACTTGGACAGCTGTGTGATTTCGCAATTTGGTTTAATGTATATCGCTCACACTGATATTCCTTGCAATTTGGTATCGGAGCTGGTTGGTGATCACCGCTTACCTGGCACCAGCGACATTGTGACTTGGTGCACTGACGATGCTTCATGTGCAGTAAGGATGCTTTGGCGCTGGTTGATTAGCGGGGCCTAGGTGGAGAGGCCGGCGGCTGGAAGGCTGTGGCGACAGCGTGGGAGCTGTGGCGACAGCGGGTGTATGCATAATGATGAGAGTATGCTGATGTGGCATTTTGGCTGAGGTGGCACTGCATTGCGTTGTGGGTGGTACCGAGGCTACTGACCGGTCATTGAAATGCACGTCGGCCCAATTGGTGAGAAATATGTGGTTGGGGGCAGCTATCTCCAGGTACGTTGTTCCCATTCCTTATCTACTCTCTCAATCTCTTCTTACCGTGAGGGTGAGTTCAACTTGAGTGTCCTCTCTTTTGAAAGGGGTCGTGTGCGCTCTATCTTGAGAGACGACATTCTTCCCGGTGGTGCATCTGGCAAGAGAGGGCGGTGCCTATGAAGGGCCCTGGTCGAAGCACGGGTCACGATCACCATGCCAACCCATGGGTAGTAGTACACGTAGGCCATGCTGCTTTGTCCATTGAGGCTCTTTGCTGCGCTGATAGAAGGGGTGTGCGGACTGACCAGTCCTACGTAGACGCTCCCAGACCGTCTATAAACATTTCTGGTTGGGGTCTGAACTGTCCACTGGCTGTGATCGTCGTCCTGATTGCGACATTAAAGAATTCCTGCGGACTCTTGGGGGCTGTCCAAAAATTGCCTCTTGATCAACCAGATCAGTCAGACGTAAGGCTCGTTGCACGCGAGGGTAAATAAAGGGCAGGATGGTCATAAACATACTTCTTGGGCACAGGGGTGAGCCGTGGTTGCACACCTTAGACACCGCAGCTTGATGATGTTCACAGGTACGTTGGATACAGGGGAAGGGGATTCCAATTGAGAACTCAACTGTACATCACTGTTATATCCATTGTGCATACATCTGCTCACTGTAGTTTATTTTTATCTTGATTAGTTGGTTGACAGTCTGCTAACACCTGGCAGACAGCCTAGAGTAGGATTGTAATCTACCATAGTCAATTCTTCTTAAAGTTGTTGTGCAGTACTAATCAAAGATAGAGGTAGACTACATGTGTACAGTTTGTGTAGGTGCTGTTGATGCCGCTTGACTAGTAGTCTAGGTAACTCGCCGGACACCAATTATTTTATTTATTTTTAGAACCGGCCAGACGCATGCTGCAGTAGGTCCCAAAGAGGACATTAGTGCAGACAGCGTCTGCCTTGCCCATGAGCGGATCAGAGGGTGAGGAGGATACATATGACGATAGGAGGCAAACACGACGGGATACCGGTAGGATACCCGTTGTATTCCAGGTTCTACTACCAGGAGACGAGAGAAGGCTTAGGGCCGAGACAAGGGCCCGCAATCTAGAGACTACGAGACCGTCAGCAGCAACGGTTGAACGCGCATTAGCAGCAGCAGCAGCTAGCGCGGTAGCAATGGCTACCTCTTCAGCCACTTCTGCTGCAAACTCTACATGTCATGCGACCAGTTCACAGTCCATCTCCAATACGTCAGGAGCTGGCACTAGTCCGATGGCGGGTTCGCAGTTCAGCTCGCCACCTCCACGCACCCGAAAGCAGTTAGAGCTCCAACAGGTAGAGAGGATTCACTTAAGGTTAGAGGAGGAACTCATACAGGCTACTAAAAGAGAGAAAGAGATTAGAGATAGGAGTGTCAGACTAGAGGGTAGGGAGGCAGGCAAGGCTGCGTTAGAGGGGTTAGATGACCCGACCCTTAGCAATAATGAAAAGATTCTGAAGGCGAGCATCCTGTCCATGCACGCATACACGGACAGTAAACTGGATACAATCCAGGACACCTTGGACCAGATCCTGAATGCCATGCACAGGCCAGGAATCAGGCCAGCAGTCTTGCCGTCGCTACCATTCTCAGCAACGACAGGCGCCTATGCCGCTCAGTCTGGACCACCACCAAGTGGTACATCAGCAGCAACCCTATCTCAGACTGTTGCTTCTTTATCTTCCGGTCCAGCGATCGGTGCTACAACACAGTCGCCACCTGTCTCGCCAGCAGGACAACAATTTCCTTGGTATCCTAAGACCCCCCCGAAACCACCTCCAACCTTCTCAGGAGACAAGAAGGACGAGGCTCTCGACGCGTGGTTGAGAACGGTGCCAGTGTGGGTAAGGGCAAAGAGGACATTGGTAGAGGAGGAAGTGATTACTGTTGTATCCTACTTAGAGGGTTCAACAACTCGTTGGCTTAATGGATTGGTGGCTTCAAAGGGGTTCGGCAGGAACATGGGTGATTGGGCGTAGACCCACACCCTGAAGAGCTTTATGGATTTAGTGGAGGCTCGATGGCACAACCCTAAGCAAGCACAAATTGCCACTGATGGGCTTCTAAAGCTTGATGCTAGAAAGTACAAGTCAGTGCGAGAACTTACCACAACCGTAGAGCGCCTGATCGTGGTCCTAGGAGTGGAGTACAATCCACAAGTCTTATTGACCATGTTCTTGAGATGTCTTCCCACAGACATCAAGAACTTACTGGCTAGCGAGGCTCGCCTAGAGTATCACACCTTTGAGACATTCAATAAAAAGGCCTTAGACTTAGAGGCTATATTGGGTAGTGCTCAAACCCCTTCTACGGACGGGAGGAAGAAAAAGACTCCGCAAGAATGGAAGAAGAAGGGTAGTCGATTGATGATGGTTGATTCCCAAGGGAATCAAACTGAAATCGATGAATGTTTCTGAACTTGTGGAGGGTGCAGAGTTAGACGGCGAGGAGAGTGCTAAGGGTAGCAACCTCACCGCAGTAGTTAAGACTAAGGCAGCAGGCCGCGACAAGGGCGGTCAGCAAAGGAGTCAGGGGCTGGCCGCTAACCCAAACAAGATAGCTGCTTGGGTTAGAGCAGGCTTCGATCAGGAAGTGTGGCGAGATCGTTGGTCGCGTGGTGCTTGCATAAACTGCGGCGAGTACGACCATACGCAGTTTAAATGCAAGAACCCGAAGGTCTCGCAGAAGATCCCTCCTAAGGGTGGGTTTCCTTCTTTTCAGTCTGGGGCCTCTACGAGCTCCAACTCGGGAAACACTTAGGGTCGGTAGAAGATGTAGCTGCTTCTACTCTCGTTGAAGCGGGTGATGTACCCTCCCTGGTTCAAGAGTTGGCCAAAGCTATTAACTCCTTAGTTACCTCGCAGACGCATCCGAACCCAACTATACTCTGTACGTTGGATGTGTCTGAAGCCTTAGAGGACCTTCAAGGTGAGTGGTCGGCAAGGGACCCTCTTGAGTCCTGGGTGGCACTGAGTAGAGGTCCCCTGTGGAAGTTGGTGTGGGTGGTCGCAAGTGCAGCGCCTTCGTAAACATTGGCTCCACGCGAAACTTCATAAGTCGCGAATGCGTTGACAGACTGTGCCTAAAGGACCGGGTGCAGCGCCTTAGTAGACCGGTAGCATCTACTTTGGCCAACAAAGAGCGCATGATGGTGGAGGACTACGTTAAAGATGAAGTTTGCACCTTCTCCTACCCAGGAGGGGAAATAAACCATAAGATATTATTCCTGGCGAGCTACGAGTTTATAGAATGGCTCCGGCCGAGTTGGACGAGCTTCGTTGGCAACTGAAAGAGCTCACAGCAAAGGGTTTGATACGGCCTAGCACTTCCCCTTTTGGCTCACCAGTCCTGTTTGTTCCGAAGAAAGGGGGAACACTAAGGATGTGCATTGATTATAGAGGCCTCAATGCCATCACCGTTAAGAATGCTACCATGCATCGATGACCTGTTGGATAGGGTGCAGGGATGTAAGTACTATACAAAGATAGACTTAGAATTCGGCTACCATCAAATTGCCATAAGACCAGAGGACCAACACAAAACCGTATTTCAGACCAGGTACGGTCTGTACAGGTTTGTAGTGATGCTCTGGCCTTTGCAATGCGCTGGGTACATTCCAGCACGCCATGAATAGGATCTTCCATGATTACTTAGATAAGTTCGTTGTCGTGTACCTCGACGATATACTTATCTTTAGTCGAACTGTCGAGGAGCATGCTCAACATGTAGACAAAGTACTTCCACTCCTCCGACAACTCAAGTATAAGATAAACGTTGAGAAATGCGAGTTCGGTCGCACTCGAATCTTGTACTTGGGTCATGAAGTATCCGCGGACGGGATTAGGCCCGAAGATGCGAAGGTGGCTAGCATTAGGGACTGGCCACGACCCCAGTCTGTGACTGAGGTCAGATCATTCTTGGGAATGTGTGGTTATTACCGCAACTTTGTAAAGAACTATAGCACGATCGCATCTCCCTTGACTGATCTAACTCGACATGACACACCACGGGACTGGACCGACGAGTGTGAGGCAGCTTTCAAGCGTTTGAAGCATGCTCTCACACATCATGAGGTTCTCATGGTACCCGACCCCCAAAGGCCATTTGTTGTAACCACTGACGCAAGCCAATACGACATTGGCGCAGTGCTGGCTCAGCAGGAAGGGAAAGAGTTGAGACCGATCGAGTACATGAGCAAAAAGATGCCATCAAAGAAGTTGGCAAAGTCCACCTACGAGAGGGAACTCTATGCTCTCTACAAGGCACTTGTCCACTGGAGGCACTATCTGTTAGGAAGGTTCTTCTATTTGAGAACTGACCATCAGACCCTCAAGTGGATCAAGACACAACCGGCTCTCTCCGATGCACTCAAACGCTGGATTGAACTCTTAGATCAGTATGACTTCAAACTAGACTATGTGAAGGGAGAGTACAACAAGGTTGCAGATGCGTTGTCTAAAAGAGCAGATTACCTGGGTGCGCTGATGTATGAGTTTGGCCTATCTTAGGACGTGACTCGATCTATGGAGGAAGCCTACAAGGAAGATCCCATCACGATGGACATCATCAACAAACTTCAGGCTAAAGACAAGGCCACCACTGATGAGTTTGTGATGGTGGATGGGTTGCTCTTTCTTGAGAAGGCAGGGTTTAAGAGATTAGTTGTTCCATCTAGGGAAGATTTGCATAGTTTGTTTTTAGGAGAATGCCACGACGCAACGGGACATTTCGGCTATAAGAAGACTAGTGGCTAATTTAGTACAACGATTTTGGTGGCCTAACATGCTAGACGATGTAAAGAAGTACGTACAGACCTGTCAGGTCTGTCAGCGGGACAAGCCACAGACTCAAGCCTCTACCCATTCCTGCTGGCCCAGAGCAGAGTATCTCCATAGACTTCATGGATACTCTCGTGACCAGCAAGAATGGCAAGAGGCATATCTTCGTCATAGTTGATAGGTTTCACTAAGTATGCTAGACTAATTGCCATGTCGGAGACTGCCAGGACTGAACATGTCATCAAGTTATTCATGGAAAACTGGGTGAGTGATTTTGGACTGCCAAAGACAATCGTTAGTGATAGAGATGTGCGATTCAGAAGCGAGATGTGGAAACAGATGGGCAGCCAGCTGCAGATGACTTCTGGGAATCATCCCGAAGCAAATGGGCAGGCTGAATAGATGAACCGAGTGGTGCAACATCTGCTGAGGCATTACATTAAGCCCAACCAGGACGACTGGGATGAGAAATTACCTCTCATCGCCAGTCTGTACAACAATGTTGTACACAGCACCACCGACGTCAGTCCTAATCAACTGCATCTGGGATGGAAGCCTAGATCTGCTATAGACTTCCTCCTGCCTGGAAATCGAACTGCTGCAACTCCTGGAACCATTGAATTTGGTGTCCAGTATGTGAAACTGTTGCAGCAGACTGTCGAACACATTAAGAAATCTCAAGAAGCCATGATTGCTTCTGAGAACAAGCGTCGCCGACAGTCCACATTTCAGGTAGGGGAACGTGTCTGGGTCAAGGCCAGTGAGTTGGGACAGGAGTTTGGCATCTCTAGGAGACTAATGCCTCAATATTTCGGTCCCTGGAAAGTCTTAGACATTGTGGGGAATGATTTGGATGGTCCCTCGTACGTCATTCGTATCCCTGGTCACTTACGCACTTACCTTGTTTTTCACGCCTCCAAGCTTGCACCTTTCGCTGAGACAACACAGTTCCCATCACGAAGATCTATGCTGCCCCCAACCATGGATGGCCACGTGGACGTCGACGACATCTTGGATCACAGAGACACGCCTGTTCCCAAGCAACCTGGCAGGGGAAGACCTCCCAAACCGGCAAGGGAGTATAGAGTACATTTCAGGCATCATACTGATCCAAAGGAAGGTCGATGGATTTCAAGGGAGGAACTTGTCAAGACAGCTCCTCAGATCGCGGCAGATCATGAGAAGAAACTGAAGGGGAAGGCACCAGCATGAAGCATCTCAGCGGACTTTCGAAGCTAATCGGGATGGAATGTGAGGAACAAGCCCTCAAGGGGCCCTATCAAACATCACATTGTTCTGGGCTAAGGCCCCCAACAAGCCAAGTGCCCGCCCTAAGTGAAGGCGGGCCTGAACATCCGTCAAAGGCAACGTTCGACATTTCCATATGTGGGTATTCAGGCTCTCGCAGCACGCCAGTTGGTTGGGAAGACGCGTGAGCCTCACATTGCTGCGTCATATAGTTGGTCCAGGCCTTGACAGTTGCGCCTGGGCACACATACACAAAACAGGGCCGATACATTGGGAAGCAGGCCTTCGGCCTTTGCAAAAGCAGTAGTGCCGACACACCTGCCTGGGAGCCCTGCACAGATACAGCAAACAGCCCATGTCCGCAGACTCAGGCCGTGCCTAACTGCAAAGGGCCCAGGCCCTCAGCTGTAGTCTTGGGCCTGGGCGCAGGGGCTGGGACCCAACCGGAAGCTACTGGAAGCTCCCAGCCAGGCCACACCATGGAGGATGTCCGCATAGAGGGGGAAGAGGTTACAGATATGATACAGCAATAGACCCCCACTTTTCGGCCCTGAGTAACCATGAATGATCCTGAAATTAGGGTTTCGGGGTCAAATTTTGTGTTTTTTTGCATTTTTTTTCTTTGCCTGTTTTTGTTTTTGGACAAGCTTGTTGTGTGTCAAATTCGGTGTCATTAGGGTTAGTAGAATTTGTGCTATTGATTATCCTGAAAATCCTGAAATTCGATGAATTTTTTTTTGGCAAAATTGCCTGAAAATGCACTTTTGAGGTGCTGTTTTTAAGCGTTTTATGTGTTTTTTTTTTTTTTTTTTTTTTTTTTT